GGGACTCGCACCCCACGCGCTCCTCCGGGACTCGCACCCCACGCGCTGCTCCGGGACTCGCACCCCACACAATGCTCTGGGACTCGCTTCCCACGCACTGGTCTGGAACTCGCTCCCCACACAATGCTTCAGGACTCACTCCCCACACAATGCTCCGGGACTCGCTCTCTGCGCGCTGCTCCTGGAATCACTCCCCACACAATGCACCGGGACCCGCTTCCCACGTGCTGCTCCAGGACTCGCACCCCACACAGTGTTCCAGGACTCGCACCCCACACAGTGCTCCAGGACTTGCTCCCCACACAATGCTCCGGGACTCGCTTCCCACACAATGCTCCAGGACTCGCTTCCCACGCACTGATCTGGAACTCGCTCCCCACACAATGCTTCAGGACTCGCTCCCCACACAATGCTCTGAGACTTGCTCCCCACACAATGCTCCGGGACTCGTTCCCCACACAATGCTCCGGGACTCGCTCCCCATACAATGCTCCGGGGCTCACATCCCGCGCGCTGCTCTGGGACTCGCTTTCCACGCGCTGCTCGGGACTCGCTCCCCACACAATGCTCCAGGACTCGCTCCCCGCACGCTGCTCTGAGACTCGTTCCCCGCGTGTTGCTCCGGGACTCACTTCCCACGCGCTGCTCGGGACTCGCTCCCCACACAATGCTCCGGGACTCGCTTCTCACGTGCTGCTCCGAGACTCGCTTCCCACATGCTGCTCTGGGACTTGCTCCCCTCACGATGCTCCGGGACTCACTGCCCTCACTGCTCCAGGATTCCTTCCCTGCACACTGCTCCAGGACACGGACCCCACATGCTTCTCTGGGACTCGGTCCCTGCAGGCTGCTCCGGGGCTCACTGTCCTCGCTGCTCCAGAACTCACTCCCTGCGTGCTGATCCAGGACTCAAAACCCTCACTGCTCCATGACTCACTCCCCTCGTGCTGTTCCAGGACTCAAAAACCCTCACTGCTCCAGAACATGCTCCCTGTGCGCTGATTCATTCCATCTATGTCAGCCAATTATTGTTTAAAATTGTTTTTATGTGGAAGGCTTTTACCTGTTCAGTTCATATTTGCTATATTACCAATTATTTAATGTGACTGGAGTGTGCATTTTATAATTATGATATTCTTTCCCTCCTACAGTGGGAGTCTTTGACATGGACAGATGGATCTGGTGTAGATTTCACAGACTGGTACTCGACAAATCCTATTTTGATTCGGAGGTTGTTCTTGAGATGTGTGATGTTTAACTTTGGTTAGTTGACCCAACTGTCACTAAGCAGTATTTAATACGAAATTATTTCCAGAGAAAGGGATAGATCAACTGATGAAATTATTGTGATTCTAACCAGGGTCAGTGATGTTGAATTTTAGATTTAGACAGGGTCTAAATACGTATTGTCCCGTTGGCAGCATATTACAATGAGAATGCAGGTAAAATTCATCAATGTAGATGGATTTACAGAGTCTGGAACGTTGCAAGAAGAAGAATGTACACTGCATTTAATAGTGAACATGGAAAAAAATGTACACTGATTATAACACTTCAGTCAGAGGTATGTTCACTGGGTGTAACACTGTACTCAGAGGTATGTTCACTGGATGTAACTGTACTCAGAGGCATGTTCACTGTGTGTAACACTGTACTCAGAGGCATGTTCACTGTGTGAAACACGGTAGTCAGGGGCATGTTCACTGTGTGAAACACTGCAGTCAGGGACATGTTCACTGTGTGAAACACTGTAGTCAGGGACATCTTCACTGGGTGTAACACTGTAGTCAGAGACATCTTCACTGGGTGTAACACTGTAGTCAGGGGCATGTTCACTGTGTGAAACACTGTAGTCAG